AGCTGTGCAAATAGTCCTCGTTACACACTGACTCAGAGGAGCCAATATTCAATGTTCCACACTTCAGGAGTGTTGTTAGTCCTCGTTACACGCCTCAGCTGTGCAAATAGTCCTCGTTACACACTGACTCAGAGGAGCCAATATTCAATGTTCCACACTTCAGGAGTGTTGTTAGTCCTCGTTACACACGTCAGCTGTGCAAATAGTCCTCGTTACACACTGACTCAGAGGAGTCAATATTTTGAGATCCACACTTCAGAGGTGTTGTTAGTCCTCGTTACACACGTCAGCTGTGCAAACAGTCCTCATTACACACTGACTCAGAGGAGTCAATTCTCCGAGATCCACCCTTCAGTGGTGTTTTTACTCGTTACACACGTCAGCTTTGCAAATAGTCCTCGTTACATACTGACTCAGATGAGCTAATATTCAATGTTTCACACTTTAGTGGTGCTGTTAGTCCTCGTTACATACTGACTCAGAGGAGTCAATCTTTCGAGAACCACACGTAGGTAGTGTTGTTAGTCCTCGTTACACACGTCAGCTGTGCAAACAGTCCTCGTTACACACTGACTCAGAGGAGTCAATTTTCCGAGATCCACCCTTCAGTGGTGTTGTTTTTAATCATTACACACGTCAGCAGTGCAAACAGTCCTCGTTACACACTCACTCATCAGTAGTGCCAGTAGCACTCATTACACAAGTCAGTAGTGTTCAGATATCAATTATATTCCAGTATTTTGTATGCTACTGCTCTGATTACAACGAATAAAACCTGTTCGTGAGTTTGCTTTCAAAGTTATTGTGTGAAATAAAACCTCGTTGCATGATTTTTTTCCCACATTATCCTGTGTAAAATAAGCCTACCTGGCTTAAGTTTCAATCCGGCAGAATGAACTAAACAACAACGGACGTTCTGCTGGAAACAGAGAAAAATGTGTACGGGTTAAGTTTACGGGAAAGGCTCATCTTTCAGTATTATGGCTATTAGAAAAGATATAACAAAGATCGATAAAACTGGGTCGTAAAATATAACTGTGTAATGACACAGCTTGGGGAACATAAAACCTCTTATGCTGATTAGACCTTAAAATAAAGCAGATAGTACAAAATATTGTTGTGACAGTAGCTGCAATGACACCCTATTCACTGTGGACAGCAGGTATTTCAAGTGACTTGGCGATATCTCGTTGACTTTAATCTCCCGCCTGTTGTCCAACTACGCGATCTCGTGAACATTGTAACCAGCTTATTTACTGGGTCCTTTTTAGCCGCAACAAGAGCGGCTGAGTTTTTTTTTTTGTGTTTTTTTTTTTTTTCTAAGTACAAACTTTTAGCTCATAGCTCCGTCATATCTTGACCGATTTGAGGTCTCATAGCTTAATTTACTCTAATCCTGCCTAAAAGAATTTCAAGTGCCGCGGCTATCGAAGGTTCCCTCTTGATTCTTCGTTGCACGGCTGTTTAAATTCTGCGATACTTAACGAGCTATACAGTTATTTATACTTCTGGCTATTGTGCATATGACGTTCGTTTCTGGCAGTTATTTAGATTTAAAAATAATTATTTCCGAAGAAATAATTACTAATCTGGGGGTGCTCGAAGATTAAACAATCCTCCTTCACCCCGCGCGTGGTCTAGGAATATGGGCTTAACTTGAGAAAACAGGAAATTAATGAAGAAGAGGTATTTAAATTTAAAAAGGTAAACATGAGAGTAACGGTAGACAATAAAAAATGAAGAGCAAAGTAAATTAAACGGCCGATATCGGACTGATGGTCCATCAGTGCGGCGGGGATCTAAAAATCCTATGCCGAGAATTTAATGTGGGGGAAACGGGAGTACCCCGAGAAAACCCACTTTCACTGGTAACGAATTGGTCGTTACCAGTGCCCGGTTAGCGAGAAAATGTAAGAAGGGAAGGCAAAGTGAAGTCCGTTGCTGGGGGTTGATTAGCTTTTGAATGTGTTATGCATATGACGTCATTGAAATGGTCGATTTTATTCCGAAAGGGAATATCGTAGACCGCGTATAGTCAAAATAAGTGTTCGTAGGTATTTCTAATTTACCAGACAGTTTCGTTAATGAATAAACGTTTCTGAATTACAGTAGTTTGAATGTTGTTAGCGGTATTTTCTGATCTTAATGTACTTTCTAAAGATTCAGTTACCTCCGTATATCAATTTTAAATCAACAATTTACAAATTACGTTTTTTCGCGTGCTGTGTTTAATAAAGTTAACATCGTTACAATAACACTTTCAAAGTAAACTGGTACAGTACGAATAGTACAGCCAGTACCAAGAATCAATCACGAGAACTATTCAAGTACATAAACTTTGACCCCTTAAAATAAACATTTAAGGGTTGGGAAAAATCTTGTGGCTAATGTAAATTTTAATTTACTTTTAAACAGTTACTAGAACAACAACGATTTAAAGACATCATCAAAATCAAAACGATTGGGTCGACGTACATGGCAGCTAGTGGACTCAACAATGAAGAATCTACAAAGGTACATTTTGTGAACGCTCTTGTTAACAGTGGGCGATCACGTGGTTAACAATATAAATAAAAAATCCACTGATTTCAATAGTAAAAAGCTAAATGGATCTACTTACTTTACACTGGCTGAAGAATTTCGTCATAGCTAGCAACTTTGAAAATGAGAAATTAACTACAAATGGTAGAGTGATTACTTTTAAACAAACATGTATATCCAACATATATATATATATATTTCTGAAAAAGAAAACTAAAACTGAAATAATGTAGTAAAGTTAAATACTTTACTCGTTTGATTTATTTTGTATTGATAGGTGAGGATTTTATTTCAATTATTGGTATGTTCGATTTTCTGTAAAACGTTACTGAAGCAATAATAATTAATTATTAATTATTTGATTAGCGAAAACAAGTAATTGTTTTTCACAATTCCAGGTTGCTACAGTTTTTTTTTTTTACAAAAAAAACATACATTTGTTGTTTAAAATGAACAAGATTAAGAAATTTTGCTTAAATGTTTTAATATTACGTAATGTTTTTTTTAAGCCTAATATTCCAGTGAAAGAAAAGTGGCGTCATCTAGCGGATTTGACCGAATTTGCCTTGACGCTGAAAGAAACACTCAATAATATAAACAGAGAAAGCTTTAACAATTTTGTTTTGAGGATGGGTAAGTCGTACTATTTGTTACAGAAAAATAAAATTTAATTGATACATGTAATGTGAGCTACATTTGGGTTACCAGACCATCACCGTGTTTATCTGTTTGACTAAATGTTTAACTCTTAAATAAGAGCAGTGCTGTAGTGCGGCTCATAAATAAAATCTGTATCTAATCCTAAATCACAGACGTTTTTATATTGATGTCATTTATAATGTTTATAAACTAACATGCTTTTTTTTTGAACGAATGTACTTGTTAGCCTTGATGATTAGTTGTTGCTGTTAAGCTCAAATCTTCGTAAGACTATACGTGCTTTGCTCACCGTAGCCTTTGTGAAGAAATCTATCTTAGTCTTTAAATTTATTAGTAGCTATTAATGATGTTAGAAAAACACGTAGGTTCAAGAAGTCTTGATAGAAATGAATACAAACCCTATAATCCTATGAATAGCTATTAATATATTTTTAATGTTTTAATGACACTACAGGGTCCAAGAAAAAAATAAAAATAAAACGATACAAAGAAGGTGATATGTTTCAAATACAGGAAGTAAATCCCTTATTCCAGAACTATAGGCCTAACATGACCAGGTGGTTAGGACGCTCGACTCGCAATCTGCGGGTTCGAATCCCTATCACACCAAACATGCTCGCCCTTTCAGCCGTGGGAGCGTTATAATGTGACGGTCAATCCTACAATTCGTTGGTAAAATAGTATCCCAAGAGTTGGCGGTGGGTGGTGATGGCTAGGTGCCTTCCCTCTAATCTTACACTGCTAAATTAAGGAAGACTAGCGCAGATAGCCCTCGAGTAGCTTTGCGCGAAATTTCACAAACAAACCAAACTGTAATGATAAAAGATAACAAGAAATTTGGAGAAGTAACCTTCATTCTCAAATGCTCCTTTTTTTCTTTTTTTGCTTTTGCTTACAATTTTAATTTAATTCGTAATATTTTTACTATGACATACATCTTTTATTTGTTTATGTGTTCTTATTTTTTTGTTAAGCCTAAAATTAAGTGGTGCTCACATACTGACTTTTGTAAAACGATCGATTACTGTATTACAGTTTAGTGTTAAGAAATTGTCTAGATTTATCTTTGACAAATATTTCATGGTTTCTTTCGTCTTTCGAGGAATTAACCAAGGTCCTATCACGGCAGGAGTAATTGGTGCCAGAAAGCCGCATTACGATATGTGGGGAAATACAGTCAATGTTGCTAGCCGAATGGAAAGCACTGGAAAAGCAGGTTGCATTCAGGTGACACTATAACAAAAAAAAATCGTACACTTTGAAAAGATTGGTATATCGTTAATTACACAGGCCTGCGAATTTAAACTTCATAAAAGTTATTTCGCTTTTAATAATTCAGCTACGCAGATTTCGAAAATAATATTCTTTTCTATCACGTAAGGATTTTTTGCACATCGGGTAGGGAAGAAAAAACTCTTACTTAGATCAAATTATTGTTTCGTTTACCACAATGAACATTTTTTTTTATTATTATGTTTGTTAACAAAAATACAAACTAACTGAAGGAACGAGAAGAACATTGATGCCAAACGAATATGCATCCTCATTCATCCTGATTTTTTTGTGTGTGAAATCTACGTTTTTTTAGTATCAAAACTACGTGTTGTGGCCTTTCTTTTATGTATTGCGTTATGACGTTTTATGAAAAATCTATACCTAATGGAGAAAAACGGATGTCATTTTCGGATTCAGTGTAGATGAATCACTGTAGAACATGTAAAAATTTCATGACAATAAAACCATCGCAGGCCTGTGTTATCAAAACCTTGCATTTTAATTAACATTTCTAGGCCTTAACATCTGTAACAGTATGAACTATGAGATTATTATTATGATTGGTATAAAAATACATGCGAATAAACATCTACTAAGTTATGTGTTTTTGAATGTGTTGTAGGTAGTTGAAGCAACCGCTAACATTTTGCGTGAGTTTGGATATCTGTTAGATCAACGAGGCCTGGTAACTGTGAAAGGAAAAGGAAAATTGATGACTTACTACTTGGTGGGTAAGAAACCGGAAAAGTCATCTCTAGAAGATGAAAATTTTCTCCCGGGAATTGTTCCCGATATCGGAAGTGTTCAGTAAACCAAACAAATAAATTATCTTTATCATCAATAAAGATAGAAGCGGAGTTTATACACAGAGATGGTTAATCCTAGAATAATTCCCATTAGAACAAGAATCCTCATTAGAACAACTCGACCTCTCAAGTGCTATTCAGGGTTTGAAATAGAGTTATCAAGAATCATCACAGTATGGATTAGGTTTATATATATATATATATGAAAGAGGTTTGACTCGAGATTATACAAGAACATTATGCTTTGACGTATTGAAATGCAGGCTACATATTCTTCCGCGTTTTTCACCAAAAGCTGGTTTACTTACTCTATAATAGTGGTGTCATTGTAGCTCTATAGTCTATATAATGTTTTTTTCGGACAATAAATTTTCGTTGTAACTTCAGAAAATAGAATTTCAGATAAACAAAAAAAACTTTCGCTGTGCCAGTATTCTTGTTAATATCAGCAGCTTTACGTTATAATATTTCATCTGATCACAAATATACTGTATTTATAATATATATATATATATGATGCTTGTATTAAATTTACTGGTCGTTCTTCAGTTATATGTTTATTTCACATTACTTCAGATGTATATATGTAAAAAAACTTGCCCTGTATTTCGTTTCTCGCTTCATACGCTAAACTTAAATTATCTTGTTTTATCAATTTAAGCGTCATAGTTGTATGTTTTGTATATCATCTTATGACCTTTATTTATTTCTACTTGTAAACTGACTGCAGTTACATCATTTGTATTAATGCCATATTTAAAGGTAAAATATCTCTTGTTGTTAAAGAAATGACACGAGTTAACTTTTATATTTAATAAAATTCTTTGTTGTTGTTTTTTTTTACATCTTGAAACAAGACGTACAACTATACGAATGATGAGTAAGCTTATGGCCCGTGTAACAAATTTATTGTTTACTTGACTACAGAAAACAATAATTATAAGATGCTTAAATAAGTCGTACCGTTTAAGTTTAAACTGCTTAAATGTGTTTACATTGTTTCTTTGATATTCATTGATGCTTAACGTGATTCATGTTTTTAAGGTGCTGCTACAATATTGTTCATATAAACCTAGTCATGGCTTATTCACATGTAAATAAATTTTACAATTAGAGCCATAAAAAACTATGACCTTTAAGGCTTAAAGTCATGCTCCGCAGTAACTTTCAGACTGATTTGTATTGTAAAAGTGTAACACGTTTTTTAGAAATTGCTTAATAAAGTTGTGTGTAAGTGATAGTACTTATGTATAGCTACTGTATGTTTTTTTTTCCTATTAATCTCAACAGCGTTTATGTTGAAATTTCGAGCAGTCAAATAATTTTCTTCCTGAAAAATAACAATGAGAGATAAAGAACACAGTTTTAGTACCTGTTATTCTTCTATAATTTTGTACTCGTGGTTCTGCATGATAATCTTTACCTAAAGCTCTCAGATTAGAATAATAAGTATGACAGATAGAACATGACAATAAAGTACGTGGAACTAAGAACAAATTAATATAGTAAAAAGCATGTTACGTCTTATTTTGTGTGAGAAGTCACGTTAATCAGCAAGTCAGTTTTTGCTATTTAAACGTGCAGGGATCGATAGACATATATAATTCATCCAGTGTTTTTTTCCAGTAAAAAATTGAAGTTATAAATTCATTTTCGGTATATATTGTTAGATGTCAAAACGAATATCTAAAAAGTAATATTGTTATATGGTAGCTCGTCAGTGTTATGTAGTAGCCTCTAATAACAAATATGTATATATATATATATAGTGTTCTTTTGTAATATACACACTTGTTGATTCTTCGTTGTTATTTAAGACATAGAGACGACAATATATCTGGTGTTCTGTTTTACAAAACATTAATGACAATAATAAACATATATATATATATCAACAGTTTTCTCTAGAGAAAAATTAACAGTGAATAAAATAACTTTAAACAATTAATTTCTATCATGAATGCCAGTTTTTTGTTTTGTTTTTTTCGGTGGGATTGGTCACTTTGTTTTGGTGGGACCGTACTTTATTAGCCTCCAATGCGGTCAAAGGTGAGATTTCTTCGCGGTACCAGTAGTAAACCTGGTAACATGTAGAGTTGTTCAAAATGGCGTTTTCCTTGGGTCTTTGGACGCTTAAATTATACACTGTAGCTCTAACAGCAACAACTATAAATTTCTTGGAAGAACGTTCGCAGTAAACTCTGTATCATGTTACTACGGCACAGGCAGTACGATAAGGAATTAACCATGGACTTTTGTATGTGCTTCGTCCAATATGATGACAAATTTCCGTTTACATACCAGACACTACTCTTACAGTTTTCGACAGGTTCTTAACACGACTCTTGTATTGCATTTGTAAACCTACACATCTGTGCAAGTTATCTTGCTTATCAATCCTAAGGGACGTTTCTATTTTAGCTGCGATGGATCGCAGTTTTCTCGGATTATTTCCTGTGAAGAACTGTTAAACTTTCTTTTCTTCAGCCTGTTTTATTTTTATCCTCTAAGGAAGAGTTACGCTCACAACTCCAACAACGGAATCATCTACAAGTATCGATGCGACAGGACTTAAATAGGACACAACATAAACATTAGAATCAAAGAACATAACAATACCTCATCACACAAACACAGCATGAAGAATCAACGTCCGATTAATATTAGCAACAAAATAAATATTATGTGATAAGTTTGGTTTGTTTGTTTTGAATTTTCGCGCAAAGCTACACGAGGGCTATCTGCGCTAGCCGTCCCTAATTTAGCAGTGAAAGACTAGAGGGAAGGCAGCTAGTCATCACCACCCATCGCCAATTCATGTGCTACTTTTTTTACCAACGAATAGTGGGATTGAACGTTACATTAGAACGCCCCCACGGCTAAAAGGGGCAAGCATGTTTTATGGGACGGGGATTCGAACCCGCGACCCTAAAAATGTCAGTCAAGCGCTTCGAGCCAGTTGCAATTATTTATTGCAATTGAGATAAATTTGTAATTATGAACAAAATAATGTTGTTTTTCCACAATGCTTACCGAGTGTTTTATAATGCTCATGCTAAAGTAATGTTGACAAAATACTGTTAAGCATTTCTGAAGGAATACTTACATATTGTGTGCCATGTGAAGTGGGGACACCTAAAGGGAGCAGATACATACAACTCGTAATAGAGAACTAAGATGCCTTCAAAGAAAAACAAAAACTCTTGCTCAAAATGGTATCATGTGTATTAACTGCCACGACCAGTATTATTATTATTCCAAATGCTGCCCCCCCCCCATTACACTTCAATTTGGTTGTGGGAATTTCAGAAATTTGACTTTACTATGACATTTTCCACGTGGCTAATCAACACCCATATACAGTCAGAGTATACCATATCTCACAATGGTCTATCTCGTTATTACTTTGTGAGATCGTAATGTCAAACAATTAACCATTTTGCATCACTGGCCTGTATATAGGACAGAAATGTTTTGTTGTAAGGCAGAATTTGGTAGGATAGAGTTGCTTGGCATTTTGAGTATCTTACTTGAAAGAAAAATATGTTTAACGTGTAATTTTCTTGAGACCCTTCGTATATAAAATGTACAATATCTTAGTAATAAATATATATCAAAATGAAGGACAGCACATATAAACTTCAGATGAGATATATTTGTAAAAAAAAAAAAAAAAAGATTTAGTCCTCTGCAAGAAAAAAGAAGATGTGGGTGCTAACATATTTACCACCTTTCACTGTCTGCAGCCAGGAGTGAGAAGGTGGTTGATCTTCGATATCCTGAAGCTCCCACTGGTGTGTAAAAATATTTAACAATAGAATTATAATTGTAACCACATAGGATGGAAACTACCTATAATGTAAGTTACAGATCTCAGAACATAACCTGATGTTTAGGGACAACTAGGGATCTATTGGTTATATCTAGGCTGACCCCTCCTCTAAATTAAACTTGTTTCAGAAAGTGTTTGATGACAACATTTGAGCATTTTGGTTTAAATTGACCATTTTTAGACAGGGATCTCGAGTGCAACAGGTAAATTGAACTTGTTTCTGGAGCTTCTTAACCATGATTAATGATAATAAAATCAGAGATAATCTATCTCTTGTAGTTTTAGCGTTTAAAGAAATATTTTCCGCTTTTTAAAACAAATAGGAGTATCTTGTTACTGATGTTAAAATGATGCCTAATCTGTATCACTAACTTTCACTGTCCTATATCGGCTATATGTATATTTTGGTTTTATGTCTAATTGTAGAAAACAAAAACCTTATATGATTGGTATATTTCAATTTTTTGACATAGTTTTTTTCTTCTTCGTAACTTACTTATCTCATAAAGTCCTTGGACACTGACTTAACATGTTTTGATGCCATTAACTTTAGGAACCAGCTCATCATATAAATTTAAAGAATCACTTGACCTTAAAACAATTTGTTTTAAAATATACAGGATTAAACAAAGTTGTGACAATGATAGTATCTAAAATGGCTAATGCTTAAGAGAAACTGAATGTTTTAACAGTTTCAAAAGTTGGCAAACCTATGCCGATAATACTTTTCAGCATGGATAACCACGTAGTGCAGTTAGTAAAGAGAAAATTGCAGGACGAACAAAATTAGTAGGAAAGAAGAAAACCTGACATCTCTGTGGATTTGATTATATAACTGTAATTAACAAGCTACCAAACTTAAATAACAATTAAGACTGAAACCTAAACACTTTTCATTTCAAAAGATTTGTTTTGATTTCTTATCATTCGCTCTAATCAAAATAGGAAAAAAACTGTTAAAAAATATAGAACTAACGATGTAACAAAATAAGTAACTCAAGTGATTTGTTTAATTATTATACTGAACTATAAACCCTACAGTGTCAAAGTTAAACGGCTATACAAGTTATACAAACACGATGTCAGAAATACACGTAGATTCAAGAAGTCTTAATATAAAATGATAAAAAAACTTATAACCCGAATGCTTTCGGAAGGTGAACCTCCTTCAGGAAAAAACTCTAATCCCGAAGAAGAAAAATCCACCTTTTGAAAGTACTCTGGTTATAGGATTTATATCATTTTACAATTTATATAAATATATGATTCTACTTTATGAAATGACAGCTTTGTTTGTTTCAAAAATATTAAAGATATTTATTCAGTTAAATTGGGGGCAGTTTTTAGTAACGTAGAAAAGTTTAGCATGACTAGAAAGACATGGATTTTAGGGTGTTCTTCCTACCCATCACTGAATTTTTATGTTTTTGGTGTGTGTTAATATTGATATTGTTCAAAGAAAATTGGCTTAAGAAAGAACTTGGCAGGAAGACATTACAATATTTTCAAATAGTAAAAATATATTACCTCTTTAGTTATACTAAAACTTGGTTAAGCGTCTCTTCTTCCTTTACTTGCCTCCCAGTGGCACAGCAGTATGTCTGCGGACTTACAACGTTAGAGTCCGGGTTTTGATACCCGTAGTGGGCAGAGCACAGATAGCCTATTGTGTAGCTTTGTGCTTAATTACAAAAACCAAAACGAACAAACAATCTTCCATTACTTAGGTAAAAATAAGTAGAATTATGTGGTGCCATCTAGTGTACATTGTTATTATTATTATTGCATTTATCCATTTGCTATACATTATTGTTGTATTCTTTATTAATTTGGTTATTTAAAACCATCTTTTCTAGCATTTCATTTTTCAAAGCAATTAATTTATAAGTATAAAAATTTACTGAAAGCAAAACCTGTAGACAAGGGATGTAAAACTAATTCCACAAGCCAGCAAAGTAAAATTCAGAAGTGAAACCAAATTTATACTTGTTGTATTTATAATTGTATTGTCTAGTGGATTTTCTTAATTAAATTGTTACCGGTACTTGCAAAATTTATAACTTAAAAGCCTAAGGGAGCAGCATGCCAAAATTTAACATCTATGAAGAACTGGATTTGTTCAGTTCAAAGTTCTTTGTGTTGTATTTTTGGCTCTTTACAACTACGAAAAGTCTTCCATCATAATTTAAAATATGGTGATAATTTAATAACTTAAATTTTTTTCACATAATTGTTTATATAAATGTTTACAGAATACACTCAGAGCACCTTTTAAATGTTGTCATACAATTTTACTTCTGCCTCACATCCATAGTTTAAAATTTTTGGCAATTTTTTTTTAATGAGTTGGGACTTATAGAAACATTGTAACTGTACCATCTTGTTCTTTTGAGATGTTAATTGTAGTTTATACAGATCCCAATCAGTTGATCACCCCCCAGTACATGGAACTTATTTTGAAGGTGTTTCACTTGGTTTATTTTTATTTTTTGTAGTTTGCTGGTGAGCAAGTAAATGTATAGACTAATTTTTACAGTCTGTTTGTTGTAAAGCACAAAGCTACTTAATAGTTAATCTGTGCTCTGCCTACCACAGATATTAAAAACAAATTTTTAGCTGACTTACTGCTGAGCCACTGAGGGGTAATTTTTACAAAATCTAAATTTTTTTTCTAATTGTTTAGAGTAAGAAAGAAAAGATTATTCAGAAGTGGGTTTGGCTTGTGCTTGTTTAACTCTAATCTTTGGTACATTTTCTTATTCTCTTTCAATCTAATTAAGTGTGGTCTGCTGTTGGGAAATGCATTTATGAGATACTGATCTTGGTAGGTAGATTTTCTCAGTTATCGAGGTCATTTTGGGTTCTGTGTTTCTGTCGGTAATTATTCAATTTTAAAGTATTATGAGCATAGGAAGAGAAATATATTTTCCGTTGTGAAGATTATTTAACTTCTTACACGTTATTAGTTCAAAAAGATTGTGTAAAATAACCACGGATGCAGTACGACATTTGAAATTATTCGATGGAAATAGACTTTTATATCAAAATGACCAAAAGGATCAATTCTGTTATTTAATAGAAGTAATTGACTTTGTGGAAAGTTATATGGTACTTCTGATTACTATATACATGGGTGGTGTTCTTCTTTTGTTCCAATAGCAGAAAAACAAGAATTCTGAAGAACAACTATGAAGCTGATATTTCATCATTTGAAGAACCAAAAACAACACATTAAATACATTTTCTTTGAGTAGTCTTAGAGCGGCTGAAAAAAATTGTGATGTCAAGATATAATTTTTGATAAGTACTTGCTACCAGTCTTTTATTAACATTATCTTCCTCCGTTTTACTGCTAGAAAAATTTTAATTAAATCTTATTTGTTCTTACAAACTTGATAAAATTGTATTTACTCCAATCAACATGTCACTTTGTATTGATTTTGAAGTGATAATTTAAACAAACTAAATGGAATAATTAATGTAAACTTCACAAAGGTTATTAGATTTCCTAAATAAACTTACTAGTATCATGCATTTGTATATAAACTACATTTTAACGGAAAATATATATGCAAGTAAAAAGCACCAATTCCATAAACAGTAACATTGTAACCTACATTAACATCGAAGGTATTTCCTCGAGGTCTTGTATAATTTCAAATGATACCCAGTTTTTACATAACAGTATTTTTCCATTCGGCACAATGTATGAAATTATATTAACTTTGCATCTTTCATGGGGATATTTTACTAGAAGAAAAGCCTGAATTAATTTAGGTTTAGAAGTGAAAATTTTTATAGTTATTTTAGGGAGTGTATACAACTAAAGTATCAGTTTATAAGTTGTTCTTCCTTGAAAAAAATAAATACATAAATCATTTACTTCATACAAGTAAATGACTCAATTCATATCCTATATTATATAAAGTCAGATTACAACTCTGGTTGTGTTAAGAACATTTTATTTCCTCCAATACATAGCTATGTACATTCACACATACACTACCATAGGAGAAAATAATTAAAGCAAGACACGTAGCACACACTATAATGTTTTTCAACATGCATTTTGTTTCCTACAAAATATAATTATGCAAAATTATAAACAATTAGTACATTCATAAAGGAGAATATTAAAATTTATTGATAATTCAGTAATACTAAGATTGTTATGCAAGTCTGAGTGAATGCCGTTAAGTTCTACTTTTTATACATTTATACGTACGATCATGAAAATTTCAACTAGGTTTATAAATTTCAAATGAAAATAACTAAATGTTTTATCAATATTTTTACTGTACACTTCACAAATGGAACTATTAAAAAATAAGCCAAAAAAAAAACCCAACAACAACAGTAAACTAAGATAGTGCAAAGTGAATAGGCACTAAGATGTTTTACTAGGTCTTATTGAAAAGAATATCCTTACGAAGAAGATTGCTGAAAGAAATTTTGTTAAGAGGTCTAAAGAGAGAAATATAAAAACATAACAATAAAGCATCATTACTAACAAAAAAAAAGTCTCTTGCTTGCTTCTAGAATGGTGATGGTGCTACACAGTCAAAATTGTTTTACCTATCTTACTAAATAGCAATGTTACTATTTCTTTTTATCACAGCTAATCTTCTATAAATTGCATCATTCTATTTCAGTATCACTTTTATGCTTTTATACTGCAAAATTCAATGTAAATTAAGTAAAAAATCTTAGGATGAGATGATATACTTTAGCAAAGTAATCAAGAGCTTAGAATGGGGAAAATCTGTAGAAGATAATGTGACTAAAACTTTTAAATTATTCGGGAAATTTTTATAAACTCTCATACAAGATGTTTTATAACATCACAGTGGGAACTTGAAATGAAAGAAAGTCAGATTCGTGTACAGAAAAACTGAAAATGATTTTTCTCGGATTGAATGCCTTAATTGTCTTCTGAAATATTTAACTGTGCCGAGGTTTAATTAACTTCCCGATGTGAGAGACTTTGAATTTTTGTTTTTATATCAAGTTATCTTCAAGTTAACTGGTTATAATTAGCCTAAATAGTTCTATTTCATTATATTTTTCAAGATTCTTATCATTAATGATTAGAAATAATGCACAGGTAAAACAACTTTAGTAATGTTTCCATACAGGCAGAAAAATCACAGACACAGAAATATTTTAAACTTGCAATATATTAAACTTTTTTTTCTTCCATTCTGTATACCAAAGAAATGGACACAAACTAAATTTATTTGTTTAAGGTACATGGCAAGTTTTATCTATCTGCCTGAGATTTAGATGTTTCTTAAAACTGCGCTGTAGTTACTCTGCCTTTGAAATACAAAACAACTTTCACATGTATTTACTAAGAGTCACAGCAAGCTTAACGTACCCCAAAAAATTATAATTAGAAAAAACACACTTTACAAAAAACACACTTGATGTGACAGTAATTCCTTAACACATGTACACAAAGACAACATTTTCATGGTAACTTCCATTTCTATTTTCATATTTACAAGTATCTTCTCATTACATTTTCACCATCTTTCATCGTTATTGGTATATTGTGTCCGTAATTCTCATACACGTCAAGATACAAATATCTTTGTTAGAATTCATGCAAAAAATTTATCCTATTTGTTTTTGTTGTTCCAAGAATATTCCTTCTTCAGGAAATTAAATTCCAACATTCTTACTTAAATCACTTGCACTTTTTTTTTTAAATTACATGTAGATGGTTATGACACTAACAGAAACATACGCAAGACAAACCACAAAAAAAAATTATAAATGGAAATTATTACAATTATAACAAATTCTGTAAAATGCTGTTATTTTTTTTTCAATTTTATCAAGTATAAAGACCATAGAAGATGCAATATTTTTTGTTTCTTTTCTTTTAAAAACAAAACATTTAAGACATTTCACTCTAAAGTTTGTATTTTAAATTCCAGAAGTACTAGGTACTCATCTGAATAGAAAAGGTATTTGGGGGAAAATCAACTTTTAGGAAAGAAAATAAAAAAAACTGGAATGTGTATAAGATACTGTTTCTTGTAGAAAGCAAGGCTGCACATATGTAGAAGAACATTCTATAAACTTAAGGCCCACCTTAGATCAAAACTATCGACTTTATACTTTGTTCCCCGATGTTTTCTTATTATCAAATGGGAGTATAGCAAATCCGTATACATATACTGTTTAAAAAAATCAGGATTATGACCTATCTATGAGGTTCTACTTGTGCTTAGTGATAAAATGTCAAACAGAATATAAGGACTGGCCTCTTTAATTATCTGTACAGAAACATTGTGTTCATTGATAAATTTTAACATTTCTATGAACTTAGAAAAAAACACAAATACATCATTCCTCTCCTAAAACTACTAAATATAAACATAAAATGTCTGAAAATAAAACTAAACAATTAATATTTGATTTTTTTTGTTTTTAGCTACAACAATATTTCGAACTTATGATGATTGTAAATTGATTAAGTAATATTTTAAACTTGAACTCAACATGAATTGATACAGTTTAAAAAAACAAAACAAAAACAATGATCTTAAACTTAATCAAATGTCTGGTTTCTTTATGATGGTGCTGTTTCCATAGCAACCAAATGCACATACAGACCAGCAACAGACACTGGTGACTTAAAAAAAAAAAGCTAGACATTTTCTAGGCAAATATTTCCTTACTATTTCCTTTTCCATACGAATTATTACCTTTTATTCCTTTGCTATCACCTACAATGTAGCTTCCTTCATCTTTTTTTCTCATGCGATAAACAATGAACATGACCAGGAGAATGGTGCACAAAAGTGCAACAACTGCACCACCAATAACAGCTGAAAATATTTGCAAGAAAAACTAAGTTCTGAATCACCAAAATGATTTTTAAGTGATAATTTAAACACACTGAATAAAATAATTAATGTCAATTTTCACAAACGTTATTAGATTTCCTAAATAAACCTACCAGTATGTAAACTTCATTTATACGAAAAATATATACGTAAATCAAAAGCATCAATTCCATAAACAGTAACATCGTAACCTACATTAACATCGAAGGTATTGCCTCGAGATCTTTCATAATTTCAAACTATACAATTTTTTACAATTATGTAAATATGAACAGTATTTTCCTTAATACATTATATAATTCTATTGCACTTTACATGCTCTTAAGTCACAGATAATGTATTTTTAAAAATCAACAGTCTACTAATGAAAAACCATATTCTAAATTCACATAACCCACACCATATTGATGTTACCTCATGGAAGAGAAAATTCTTCTAGTACGTGCATAATCCTCTAAAAAATTATAAAAAAGAAGTAACAGGGTAGCACTCTCCTAACTAATAATAAAGTCTTTTCAGAAGAACTGATGCTTCTCATCACAGCCATGAATGCAAGGTGTTGGCTCTCATGGTGTTTTGGGAACTGAAACAGAAAGCTATCATATGAAACAGTGTTGTTTGTTTTGAATGTATAGGTCTGAGTGATAAGGGCAAATTAGAGAATGCTTTAAATATGACCACGACACATTGTCCCGACCATTAAGAGTGGTATGGTAGTATTCAAATGTCCACTGGCAATAGCTAAAGCAACCATGATTGCCTTGCCATATTATGGCATTTAATAGTGTACTGCCTACAATGATGGGATCCTAAGAAGAGGAACCATACCTTATTTAGTAGGATAATGCACCACACTCAATCACATATTGTGCTCAACAGTGGTTTGGGACCAATAACAGCCAAAAACTGAGATGTTTAGCAGAATTGCTTTGGAATGCTACCTAAAGGACATACCCCAAAATTCACACAAGACTTGGAGCTACTAGTAACAATGCTTTAGGACCAATAACAGCCAGATACTGTCATGGGTAGCAGAATTACTTTGTAATGTTTTGGAATACTACCTAAGGGAACTGCTATGCAAGACGACTGACTGTATAGATCACCTGATATGCAGCCAATAACAACAGATCCCAGGCTGATTAACAGAAAAGATTGCCCCCAATTCTTGTTAAATTGGGGTCCTAGTGATCAAAAAATAACTTCCAATCCCTTTTCAAGATAGGTTGTCCAAATGTTTTTGATAACATAATGTACATCATGTATGAAAAAAAATATATTTTGTAAGATTAATTTTCACCTCTAATGTAATCAAGTGGAAGAAAATAGTTGCTGCAATTTTAATAAATGTTTTTAAAAACTTTACATTTTTTACAGCTTGTAAAATTTTATTCACTTGAGTATTTGTTTTTCAGTAGTTACATAATAAATTGCAAAAAAAATGTAAAGCTCAATACTGTTTTTTTATGGATACAAGTTTTATAAACTAAAATATAAGGAACTTACAAGCCAGTATTCCAGGTTGTGCAAAAAAAGGATGAAGGTTTCTCTTCCTGTTTCTGTCCCATAATATGTATCTCGTTATCTTCTCTATTCTCATCAGGTGTTGTATCAAACCCTGGACCAGGAGCATTATCTGGTCTTCTTGGCTCGATAACAACAGGTGTGGGTGGGTTTGTGATGTCAGGAATGCGATTTTTATGGCTTGACTCTGTTGTTGTAACTTTGATTGTTGGCTAGACGTTTAAAAAAAGAAAGTTATGAAATTTTCAGTTGTTTTGGATGAAGAAGTTAATGCCCATCTGAAACATTCATAAAAGATCTTAAGAAAAATTTCTTTTGTTGCAGTTTTACTGTTTCAAATTTCATTTCCTAATTACTTTTCATCCTTTCTTTTATAAAACTAGGCCTAATGTCCATCACTATTATATATAATACATTAAATAAGTTAACATAACATAATATTTTGGGACATCATGGGACCTATCGGTCCATCTCAGCTGTTCCATCCTCAAAACTAAATTAAAATGATCAAAAAAAAATTACAAAAATTTTAAACCCAGCCCCTTTCATTCATATACTTTTAAAGATTTTTCTTAAACTCACTTAAATTTAATGCCTTTACAACATCTGAAGGCAACCCATTCCAAAGGCCAACCACCCTTATAGAAAAATAAAACTGTCTTAGGTGAAGAAGATTCCTACCTTGCCAAAATTTATATTTGCATCCCTTAGTCCTACCTCAATCAGATGCCCCTAACTCTTCTTTTTTCAAGAGAAAACAATTTGAGAGATTTCAGCCTCTCGTCATATGACAACCCCTCCAACCCAGACACCATTCTAGTAACCCTTCTCTGAACCTTTTCCAACAATTCAATGTCCATCCTAAGGTAAGGAATCCAAAATTGAACACAATATTCCAAATGTGGCCTAACCAGTGACCTGTACAATGAAAGTATAACCTCTTTAGACTTGTATTCAATATTTCTATAGATACAACCTAAAATCCTATTTGCCCTACCACTAGCAACAGCACACTGCTTGTATGACTTTAGAGACAGATCAACTATTAAACCAAGATACCTTTCCATCATAACACTATTATGGTTATTTCCATCCAAATTATACTTATAATTCAAATTATGATAACCCACATGCATTATCTTGCATTTATTATAACTAAAACCCATTTGTCATTTATTTGCCCAACTCACTAAATTATCTAAATCCTTTTGTAAATTAACAGCATCCTCTTCACTGCTAGCAACACCCAAGACCTTAATATTATCTGCAAATTTAAGTAATTTATTGACTATCCCTTCATCTGTGTCATAGATGTAAGCCAAAAGCAAAGGTCCTAAGACTGAGCTTTGAGTACCCCACTTGTGACATTAATCCATTTTGACTGAACTCCATTTATAACAACCCTTTGCTTTCTTCCATCCAGCCACTCTTCTATCCAATTTGTTAACGTATCACCCACACCTATAGAGCTAATTTTTTTACAAGCCTCTTATGTGGCACCTTGTCAAATGCTTTCTGAAAATCCAGATACACCAAATCTACACCCTTACCCTCATCTACATAAGCAGTAACCTTTTCAAAGAATGTTAAATAATTTATAAGGCAGGATTTTCTCTTAGTGAAACCATTTTGACGATCCAATAAAATTCTAGGCCTAATGTCCATCACTTTTATAATTCATTAAATAATATATTGTTAACTAGGCCTAATGTCCATCACTATTACAATACATTAAATAATTTATTGTTTATTTAAATTTTAGCATACTCTGAACATGCAAAGCATAATTAATTGAAGCTTTTCCCAACATACATTTTCTAATTACAAAAGTTCTAAAGTTCAAATCATTTATTAATAATATTTTGACCATGCAGTGAACACAAATTTTAATGGTAATCATCATGTAATCTTGTATATTGTTTTACCTTTTTATTTTACAAATGTGTTTTTTATTTGAAACACAAGTTTGCTATTTTTAATTGTGCAAAAACTCACTTTCATGCTGTGATATATATATATATTATTTTTTGCATTAAAACTGTTGCTGCTTTCATCGCAAGAGTGCATGATAACAATGAGACTTAAGCCTAAAACACGAATCAATAGCTACTCCAACTTACTCTGTTTAAATTATCTAAAATTTGAGACCTCTTTTTTAATTAGAAGGAAAAGAAGGGAAGAATTTATAATTGTTTAATACATAATTATTTGTTTCTATCGACAACATGTTTGTCAAGCCTAACTTCACACATCATCAGTTGTGCAGTTCGGGTGGAGTAAGAAAATAAGTTCATAAAATTGTAAAGTAAAATTAAACTGTAGATAAAGTATTTTATAGCCTGGACATACTATATATATAAAGTAAGATAATATATCAATTGTAGTTTTATGACTCGCATACGCCAATTGGTTACATAAACTTAAATAATGATGTGTCTAGTAATTACAAACAAGTTAAATACCTAAAATGCTGCTTACATGTGCACATATAATACAAGAGTAGAAAATTTATTAAGATTTACTTTGTACTCTGGCACACGCACATAAAAATGATTAACACTACACCACTGCATATCATTATTACATAGTACACGTGTGCATATACTTTTGAAAAATTTTCAACATTACATATTTTGACAAGATAAACATTTTATCAGATTTAAGGAAATAATCCAACATTTAAACCTACTTCACTGCTTGTGTTTATCTAATGGGTAGTTCAAGAGCATCTATAATTTTAGTTGAACCAAAAATAAAATACCATTTTGTTTTTAAGGTAATGAATCTGAGAAAATAATTAGAAGAATAATTTATCTTTTAATTAATAAATCTTTTTAATACATATTTGGAAAATCCTGAAATTAAGTATTCTTGTAGTAAAATATCAAAACCTTAATATACCATAAAATATCAAAATGTTCCTTTTTGTATAGGTAAGTTAAAATACCATAACTGATACACAAATAAAGTGAAGTCTTACATTTGTTCTTACTGTTTTCATTTTACAACTGCCTCAAAAAAAAAGTTTGTGACACATACATTTTACACATTGTAAACACAATGCACAAATAAGAGATAAAAAAATTCACATAAATTTTATCATACACGTACCATGCAAAACACTTTAAGAGAATCTTTCCTACTTACTTGTTCTTTTTTTGGGGGGAATACTGGTTTCTTTGTTGGGTCAGGTTTCTTTGTTGGATATTCGATAGGCTGGTGCCAAGTGGGTTTAGGTGGTTTATTTTCTGGTGTAACTAATATTGGTTTGGTTATGTCTTCAATGATGACTAAGGAAAAATACATATACTTTAATGTTTAATTGTTACATTCATTTGCTATTACACTTTCCAACCATTAGTCCATTTTGTTTTATGATAAAAGAAATACCAAGTGCTACTTATCTTGAAATATTCTATTCATTGAGTTGAATCAAAAAATAATTCCAAAAAATCAAATTATACACATATTTTCCTAAAAATAAGAATTTTTTTTTATTGTTTCACAAATTTCTGTAAAGCTGCACAAAGGTTAGATCTGCATTAACTATCCCTAACTTTTAACCGATATACTAGAGCAGTGCTTTCCAAAGTGGGTGTCACGACACTTTGGGGTGCTGCGTCATGCCCTGAAATTGTATGTTTTGTTTTGTTAAATTTTTATTTTTATCTATAGCTGTTATAAAATTCAATAACACAAAGTATTCTAAAATTTGCTTGACTATGTGGCACGCAAAAAATTATCTAATGTTTTATATATTTCTTTTTGTGACCCCGTCCTACCAAACATGCTCACCCTTTCAGCCGTGGGGGCATTATGTGATGGTCAATCCAACTATTTGCTTGTAAAAGAGTAGCCTAAAAGTTGGCAGTGGGTGGTGATGACTAGTTGCCTTCCCTCTAGTCTTTCACTGCTATTTTAGGGACAGGTAGTGCAGATAGCCTTCATATAGCTTTGTGCCAACTTTCAAATAAACAGACACAAAAAAAAAGGTTCACCAACACAGCCTTGTGTGTAGTGGTAGATAAAGTGGAGAACCCCAGTTTATACCAGTTTCTACTTGTCTCGATTTATTTTTGGTACATACATAGTGTGTTGCCTTCAAAAAAGTTTGGAAAAACCCTCCCTAGAGAAAAGGCAGACAGAACCTACCATCAGTACTTAAGTTACTCTAATCTAAGTGGGATCAGGGAAGGAATATTTGTTGGCACACAAAGAATGCAGGATCCCAAAGTTACTGGCCGAAATCCCATTTTCTGGCCCCCCAGGAGCACAGCAGTATGTCTGCGAACTTATGATGCTAGAATCTGG